ATTTTGGCAAAAAGCACAAATCATCTGTGCTATTATGACTCATCTAAGGATGACATCATCACTGTGTTTTTATTTGGCAGCGTAAGGGACTGACCAATCTAATTCCTGTTGCTATTGAATTCAGACAATAACAAAAAGTTACATAACTCTTGGCAATTTAAATTGGCTGGTGTCTGTGTTGACAAAATGTAAACAGGTTTATGAAAATAAAAACCTTCAGCAAAAAATGGTCTACCCCTAAAATAAATTTTACAACAACAATAGAATCACTCAGTATTCAACACCATATCTGTTGGCATGATGCCAATTTAATGTCTATGATATTATATCCCCTATTTTCCCAAAAAAAAAAAAAAAATGCTTTTACTAACTTTCATTTAAAGACGAGTCTATCATCATCCCTGGCAACTTTGATTGGATGTTCTCTGTTATCAAATTTCTCATCAGGTGCCTCAATTATTGTCCCCGATCTATGAAATGAGAACAAAGATACACAATTTAATATTTCATGAGATTGAGAGTACACTCTGAAGCATTTATAGATACAATGAGGTTATTTGACAACAAAAGCCATTTTAGTTTTCATACAGCTGTCTGATTACTTGTCTTAAGTTTACTCATTATATTTGGCATACAAACCCCAGATCTTGTTTCGCCGAGTATTCTGTTATCATTAAAATTACTTGCATCGATTAATTGAATATAAAAACATTTGCAAAATGATGCACCAAATTTTGATGTGGAAAATAATGGTGCTCTGAACCGATGTAGGATGCAAGGTTTATAGATAAATTAGACGCTAGTTTCCAGGTTCATGCAACAAATGACTGGACTGATACAACTTGACAAAATATGTAGAAAAAAAGTGAATATTGGGAATCACATCGCTGTGTTCAATATGGGTCCCATGTGACATATACAACTCATGTAAAAACCATTGTCTGTTTACATAAAGTGCTACCTGCTACCTGTGGTGCATTTATATATCTTTCATATCTGTTTATTAGGATCCTGGGGCTATTATGTGAAATATCTGATGGCCTGACTAATTGCAAATTTTTGGAAATATTTCAGAATTTTGACCCAGGGTAGTAGTAATTCAAAATAGAGACAAATGTTTTTGCGTCAGAACATTATTCAAAAGTGTTAGCCCATAAAATTCAAACAAACAATGCAATAGAAAGTTAAAACAATCGCCAGACTTGCTAAAAATTATCGGTATTGTAATTTTAATTTATTGAAAAATTACAACCAAAATTGATGCACGCATACATTTAAATTTGCGCTGTTATTTTTACTAGAAGCTTTTTCTATTTATTTTTTCCGAAATTCTGACAAAAAAAATAAAAAAAAAGTTTTGACATGCACATTTTTAAACTGATCTGTCTGATGATTAAAAACATGGATATTATTTTTTCTTGGTCCAACTGAAAAAGTAGACCAAATATACACATCTGTAAGAAAAAGAACACAAAACAAACAACAGCAAAAACATCAAGAAGTGATGTTAGTCGGTTAAAAAATATTAACACATTCGGAAACCATGTGTGGTACCCGCCGTATATCATTCTGAGTCATAATCAAAATAGCAATATAGAAGATTTAAGCTAACAAAAAATTATATGATTAGAATATTTCAAATTTTTATTGAAATTATCATGGCAGACTATGCCATCCTGTATTTGTGTGTCCAGTTTTATAGCATACTTGGTGTGATCATCTAATCATTAGTTAGTACTTAAAGTTAATTATTGATATTATAATTATTTTGACTACATTAATTACACTTGCTTAGTTTAGTAGCTAGTCTCAGACATTACAATGTTACTAGTGACCTTACAGCCTGTCATCAATTTGAATTGCAACTCTTTAAAATAGCGGTGATATTCTACCAGGGATATTATGATTAAATAACGCATTGCAATGGTAAAACTTTGAAACCTCCCATGGTTATTAAGGGAAATAAGTTTCAATTGTCAAGTTTACCCTTATTAAATGTTATCGTTTTTTTTTTTTGTGATAATGTTTTAAATCAGAAAACCCATCAGATCAATATCTGCATCATTACCTTATGAATACAAGGTAATGTGTAATTTCAAAAGGCTCTCTTAAGACACCTATTGTGATCAAGGTTATGGGTAATTGTTTACGACCAATCAGTGCTGGTTGCATCGCTTTTGACAATCAATGAAAATTGCCTTTTAAGTTTCATAAATATTTATGATAATCCTGGTTGAGTTTCCGTCAAAGGAAAGAATTAGTTTGCTCTAATGAAGTGAAGTTCTGTGCGTCAGGCCTCCGGGGCATATTGCTCATCTTTGTGTTGTATATTTGTAATCCAATGCCAACGTGGATGATGAATCAGGAAAGCGCTTTCCTCAAATTACTGTTAATTCCTGTTTGTTTTGTTCCAGTGTTGCTAAGTTGGAAGTAACCTAAATCATATTGATGGCATTTCGAAAAAACATGCCTGTGGATTAATAATAAATTAGACATTAAAGTTTATTGAATTTATAGTGCTTATCACAATGGGGTTATCTTATTTATAATGGATGACTTCACTTGTCAAGTTCAATGATTTATATAAAATCATTTGCCCTTTTTTGGTTACTTTAGTTACATTTTGGTTGACTTGACGAACAAATAATAACAAATTTAAGATGTTATTGTAGAGTGAAACAAATATAGAAATTTGAGAAAATATGAGGAATCAGTTTTCATTTTCCTTTCTAACCTCAAGGAGAGATAGCTTAAAAGTATATGTTGGGAGATAATTTATTGATGTCATAATAATATCGACTCAAAGTAGGGTGATCATTTCACTTAAACAATCTTTCATATTATGGACAAGTTTTATTTTCATATTGCCTTCATTCACCAAAGTTATGTAGAAGAAGAAGTTTTTACTGAGAATAATTTCAGCGCATTTGTTATTGTAGTAGAGGATATCTGCCGGGTTTTACATTTATTGATTCATGAACAATATGATTATAATTTTGCGTATTCACATTATTTTAATTTAGTGTATGCTAGTGTAACTCTCAGAAAAATAAGTGAAAATAAAAGCCAGCTAGTTAATAAGAGTGATTTTAACGTTCCGAGTGATTTAAAATAAAAAATTGAATATTACCTTATAAATAAATGGGCATTATGTACATCTGCTTGGAGGCATTGATTGAGTACATAAACTTGAATAGCAAATAACATATTAAGTTTGACAATGATAAAATGTCAATAACCGAGATTAACCCATTATAAATTTCAGTATAATGCACGGTCAAGGTCCTGTCTGCTATTGACCCTTATTTCAAGTGATCATTCTTCAATACTGGAATATAAACCTGCATTCCAAGGTTATTAACCTGAGTATCAAACTGTATTATCTATTGAGTTTATTGACCCAATAATGGAAATTTGTTATTTATACTGGATTAAAATTTAGGTTTTTATCCTACAATTGTGGCATTAGTCCAATAGCAGAAAGCTATTGCCTTGCAATGGAGTAGTTGATAGTAGTTACAACCAACGATTAAATGCAGGGCTGTTAATGAAAAGGAGGGAAGTTGTAGAAAAAAAATGTTATTGAATTGCCAGCGGTGGTACAACAACTATATACCCGGTAATCAGTTAGTTGGACATTTTTAGTACATTTATATATGGTATAAGAATAGGGTATAGAATGCCTGAATAGTACAAGGCAGTAATAGAGCAGGAGTTTGGATTATTGATTGAACCTGTTTTATCACAGTTTGTGTTTAAAGTGTGTCGGCGCCTACTGATTTCAAGTATATCGTAAAGCTGCATAAAACCAAACGTTTATGTTCTACATAATGTTCCATATCCCGGAATTGTAATTTACGCAACGTAATTGAGTGAAATGGACAAGAGGGTTAGGCGAAACGAGATGAATGATGAAAAAAGCACTTTTACAGACTTCATTGATTGAACTAGTACAATGAAATGCACAACTTGATGAGTGGTAGCCTCGGATAATTACTTATGTGTGTACTGTGATGAATTGGGAAGCTGCATCGATGCACAGGATAAAAATATGAAATGTTGCAATACACGCTGCATGATCAAATTTCACATTATCGACAAAATTTTTAGTAAAATAAATCAACATAAGTTTGAAATTAAGGTTTATTTATAGTGTTATTAGCTTCTTTGTTTACCATATACAAAGAACTACCAGATACAATATCTTTTGTTTGCTTTGTATCCAGCAAATTACTCCTGTGCCTTGAAAATGTGTAATCAGTGGTAAAAAAACATTCTAACAAGCCTGATTAGTTCTCGTGGCGTTAATTGAACCTAATTACTTGAATTATCATGCAAATTGCTTTATTCTATTCACCCAAGTGGTAAATGCTTTGTTTGGTATCTAAATAGTTACCTGCACAAATAGAGAAATTAAGAGAGTAATCAACAGCGCTTTATTTGTAGCTTGTTTGATTGTGAAATAAAATCTTTGCAAATGGTTTTTGTTGAAGTGAATAGGACTGAGTTTTATTGAGAGCGCCCTCAAGTTATTTTCATGAGAACAAAGACTTTGACTGTCGTGATAGCGCCCTCAGTGTTATGAATAAACAAACTTTTTGTGGTAGGTTTTGATATAGCGCCACCATTAGGTAGTTTTTGCATGAAGCTTGTTTGTTTTTATGTGTATTTATGGGACAAATGTAATGCACAGATTGAATTCGATTGAATAACACATTAACCGTAAACTCTTATTTTTGCTGTTATTTATGATTATACTTGATTTATGGTCAATGAGGTCAAAATCCCACACCAATT